ATTATTAATTTATCATTTTTTCATTATTTTATGACTGATTTGTTATTGATTTGTTTTATTTTTCGCCTTTTTATGAAGCATATTGACATTGCTCTCTATTATCTGAGAAAGAAGGGATGCTACCACCCTCGCGATCATCCTTTTCGATGCACAACTACTGATGTTCTTTTTGATAATTATATGGCACTTGTGTATAAAGATTTCAGTGAAGATGCCAGTGATGAGTTTTGGTGTGCTGGTGATAATCAGTTATTTCCGACACCATATGTGTGGGGGGACAGCCGTAGATGTGGAATTGCATGGACTGAGGTTGACAAAATCTTTTTTCCATGTCGGCTTCCTTCAGAAGATGATGAAGCTGTGACACACTTTTTGTTGGGAGTATTGGACTTGAATCAAAAAAAGATTGATGTATATGATTCCATATACAGTGAGCCATATGAAGCAGGAATGAACTACATGCAAATGTATGCACGCATGATCCCCCATTTGCTAAAGTTCTCACAGTTTGACAAAAATCACAAGTCTTTTGGGAATGTCTTCAACAAATTTGATATACAGTGGCAAAGATCACCACACCAAACTGGATCGTACGTGTTATTATTTGTTATATTATTTATATGTACTTAAGATTTATTGTTTAATTCACTGCATATCTTACATTTCTCTTAGGACTGATTGTGGTGCATTCCTGATCAAATTTGCCGAGTTGCTGATGATTGGAAAGGACGTGCAGCAATTCCAACCCGAAGACATAAAAGACTTTCGAAAAGAACTTGCTGCAAATCTTTGGGCACATGGTGAATGGAAAAGAAATTATGGTTATGATACTCCACCAGAAAATGTTGGTAATGATTATGAGAGTGAAAATGAAACATTCTGTCCAAAGGAGTTGTAAAGAAATTGTGGTGTTATTTTTGTATAAAATTGCTGTAAAGGTGACATCTGAATTATGCCAGTTTAGGATAGTTCTGAAATATTCTGTAAATTTGTGAAAAGGCACTTATATTTTGTTTTATTGTCATAGCGTAATTTTTTGTAACAGCTATGCAAAATTACAATTTCAAAAGTTATGTCAAGGCATTTTGTTATTTATTTCGTTGTTTCTCTCAACTGTTGATTTGTCCATTGAGTTTGTTAGTATTTGTTCATGACTAAGTGTAAGTGAACTTCAAATTCAAAGTTAAGGACCGACAGTCCGTAAGTTTTGAACATGGGACTATAACTTAAGGACCTCATGTCCTTAACTTTTGAACTTGAAATTCAAAGTTAAGGACCGACAGTCCGTAAGTTTTGAACATGGGACTATAACTTAAGGACCTCATGTCCTTAACTTTTGAACTTGAAATTCAAAGTTAAGGACCGACAGTCCGTAAGTTTTGAACATGGGACTATAACTTAAGGACCTCATGTCCTTAACTTTTGAACTTGAAATTCAAAGTTAAGGACCGACAGTCCGTAAGTTTTGAACATGGGACTATAACTTAAGGACCTCATGTCCTTAACTTTTGAACTTGAAATTCAAAGTTAAGGACCGACAGTCCGTAAGTTTTGAACATGGGACTATAACTTAAGGACCTCATGTCCTTAACTTTTGAACTTGAAATTCAAAGTTAAGGACCGACAGTCCGTAAGTTTTGAACATGGGACTATAACTTAAGGACCTCATGTCCTTAACTTTTGAACTTGAAATTCAAAGTTAAGGACCGACAGTCCGTAAGTTTTGAACATGGGACTATAACTTAAGGACCTCATGTCCTTAACTTTTGAACTTGAAATTCAAAGTTAAGGACCGACAGTCCGTAAGTTTTGAACATGGGACTATAACTTAAGGACCTCATGTCCTTAACTTTTGAACTTGAAATTCAAAGTTAAGGACCGACAGTCCGTAAGTTTTGAACATGGGACTATAACTTAAGGACCTCATGTCCTTAACTTTTGAACTTGAAATTCAAAGTTAAGGACCGACAGTCCGTAAGTTTTGAACATGGGACTATAACTTAAGGACCTCATGTCCTTAACTTTTGAACTTGAAATTCAAAGTTAAGGACCGACAGTCCGTAAGTTTTGAACATGGGACTATAACTTAAGGACCTCATGTCCTTAACTTTTGAACTTGAAATTCAAAGTTAAGGACCGACAGTCCGTAAGTTTTGAACATGGGACTATAACTTAAGGACCTCATGTCCTTAACTTTTGAACTTGAAATTCAAAGTTAAGGACCGACAGTCCGTAAGTTTTGAACATGGGACTATAACTTAAGGACCTCATGTCCTTAACTTTTGAACTTGAAATTCAAAGTTAAGGACCGACAGTCCGTAAGTTTTGAACATGGGACTATAACTTAAGGACCTCATGTCCTTAACTTTTGAACTTGAAATTCAAAGTTAAGGACCGACAGTCCGTAAGTTTTGAACATGGGACTATAACTTAAGGACCTCATGTCCTTAACTTTTGAACTTGAAATTCAAAGTTAAGGACCGACAGTCCGTAAGTTTTGAACATGGGACTATAACTTAAGGACCTCATGTCCTTAACTTTTGAACTTGAAATTCAAAGTTAAGGACCAAATGTCCTTAACTTTTGAACTTGAAATTCAAAGTTAAGGACAGACAGTCATTACGTTTTTAATATGGGACTATAACTTAAGGACCTCATGTCCTTAATATTTGAACTTAAAATTCAAAGTTAAGGACAGATAGTCCTTATGTTTTTAACATGAGACTATAACTTAAGGACCTCATGTCCTTAACTTTTGAACTTGAAATTCAAAGTTAAGGACAGACAGTCCTCAATTTTTTAACATGGGACTATAACTTAAGGACCTCATGTCCTTAACGTTTGAACTTAAAATTCAAAGTTAAGGACAGACAGTCCTCAATTTTTTAACATGGGACTATAACTTAAGGACCTCATGTCTTTAACGTTTGAACTTAAAATTTAAAGTTAAGGACAGACAGTCCTTAAGTTTTTAACTTGTATTTCAAACTTAAGGACTCCTGTAATTAATGACAAACAGTCCTCAAGTTTTTAACATGGGACTATAACTTAAGGACATCATATCCTTAACTTTTGAACTTGAAATTCAAAGTTAAGGATAGACAGTCCTTAAGTTTTTAA